TGTTGAGCAAGGAAGTTCGGCATTTCAGGTGAGTGCGATGGCGAAAAGCAATGGGGCGACGGCGAGGGAATCCGGGACGAGGCATAAGGGCGAGTGTGAGCCATTCTCGGCCATCCGAACCTCGCAGACCGTCCGTGCAATTTCGACCTTATCGACCTCGTGTCACGCACGTGCTCCATCCTTAGGCCTAATCTCCTCCAAGTGAGTTACGAGTAATTACGATAGCGTTTCGTTGTGGCTGGATTTGTGGGAGGAATTTCCGACTTTCGGAATGCAAGAGGAATCGTTAGGCCTGTGGAATGCTGAAAGAATTGTCGAGGCCTGTGAATTGCAGGAGGCACTCGAGGGCTTTCCCGCGGTCTAATAAGATTGTTTCAGCGAAATGGGAGTGAATTGTCATTTAACAACAAGTTATTATTCTGAACACTTTCCGTTAAAAAGTATAACTTTCACACATAATCCAACCTGCAGTGAAGAAGTAGCGAAATGAAACACGCTATTGTTTCGAGGTAATTGAGGTTCATTCGGCTTAATGAGAATGTGCGCCTTTCGAACCATCATCCATCACCATATCCTTCTTTTATATGCCATAATGTAGGCCTAAGATCCATGATTTGCATACATATGAGTGTCAAGCCATCCGGCTTGCACCTTGATTCATTTCCTTGGCCTGCTTGTGAGAACTTAATCACCGGATAAGAATTCATCGTGAGATTTAATTTTGACGTTCCCCCCCTTAGAGATGGACGAAGGCGACGATGACGAAACCTACAGAGTGGGCGAAAGCCTGGGACTCCGAGATACGGGGAGCAACCGGAATACCAAGCCGGAATACAACACCGACGGGAGCCACGAACTCACAGTGACTGTCACGGCCCAGCCCCCTCCGCCGAAGGCCGAGCATCGGATGACGGGAAACCAGCAGTTCATCATGTCCGACGGCGGGGAGTCGTGGAAGGGCTACGATCAGCGGCACAAAGGTGGGCGACTCGGTGAAGGGCAGATATTCGGCGCGATGCCATTGCACTCTATATCGAGGAGTGGTTAACCGTAGTTCCTTTATGTTACGCCAGATGTTGAAAGTGTTCCCTCTCCTGCATTGACTGCTAAACCTCTCACCAGATTATAAACTCCTTTGTATTTCATTTTGAGCTGAACTTCAATTTCCCCCCCATTTTATTAATTGACACAGCCCAATGATCGCAGTTCCTTTGGGTGACGGTTCTCACACGTTGCAGGAGACTGGAAACTTGAATGTTTGATTAGCCAGCAAATGCTTTTTTGTCGCATAGGGAAACGGAATTTATATTCCCATTTGAATGATAAAATTTAAGGGACTTTTACATATCTTTAAAAATGAATAGTTTTGAAGACGTCAGCCAATTTAAAATTGGTTTTAACATTGTAATTTTTTATTCTTGTATGGTGAAATCATTTTCATAAAAATTTCCATATTTCTGCCAAATGTTAAGCCTACAATTGCAGAATAAGAAACAGTACATTCAGAATTGGGTCCAATCATAATACCTACACTGCATGGAAGATTGATAGGTGCTAAGGAGGGAAAATTTGTAATAGCCAGAGGAACATCTCCTTCATTGGTGGGAAATTGACTTCAAATGCTTGTCTTGAAAAAGGCTTTTCATTTTTCAAGCATAATTCATTCTAATAAAAGGAAGCTGGCTGTGAGCTTTTTTCTTTTTTGTAAGTTCTGTAATATACAAGCCTCCTCTTGAGTGATTCTTATTCAAAGGTATGTATGTTGGTGGCTGACGGGGTTAAATGTACATTATTGCTGCATGGATGCCATATTTGTGTTTAAAAAAAAAGTTATTCCTAGTTCAAATGGTACTTGTGTTCCCTATTTTGACCAAATGTTGATGAACCCTTTGCTATTTATTTTTTAGAACTTTATTATTATTGCCTCATTTCCTTTTTGTTGCTATTGAGGAATCAACCTTGACTAATTCATCCATCTTGAACCAACCTGCTTGAATAATTTCTGTGACAGTTGCATAGACTTCATCTTCTTCCATCATCCATTGCATGACTTTCTTGCCTTGTGCATTCGTTTCCTACTGCTGTTCGTAGTCTGCTTTCATTCGACAGGCATCAAGGGACCGATAGTCACAGCCTCCCAAGGTATCAGATGGCTCTGTTTCCTCATGGGAGGGTGACCCCATGAGGATCATGCTTTAGCTTATGGCCCATTGGGACTGTCTCATGTTATTGATGCAATTCCGAAAAATTTGGTCCATAGGAAGTCTTCAGCTTGTAACCCAATAAACCTCAACAAAAATTTTGAGAAATCAAAAGTAATATCTTTTAGAATGCAGAATTTTAATTTCAGACAGGTGAAACAACTTTTGAAAACCTTGCCTAAATAATGAAATCAGTTGTTTTTATGAATAAGTTCTGGAATTGACTTATTCCAGGTTTCCATGTTTTAATTCTTGCATGGTGGAATTTTTCTGCATGCAGCTGTCGTAATAGTTACCATATTGACTCATGCATTTTTCACAAATTTGACCCTTTCAGTGTTATGATCAAGTATACTTCATTCGCACTTTCTCATCCTCTGTGCAACAATCATGAATACTTGATCATAACACTAATAGGGTTAATGTTTATTGTGGCTGAGCTTGCCCTGGCATATGAGCTACTTGCCATCATTCGCAGATGTAGACTCTCTTTTTCCATTTATCTCTAATTTATCTGTCGGTGCATCATGTTTCACAATGATCTGTCGTCCTCATTATCAAAGCATTTTTGGCTAAAAATACTTGTTTCAGATATATTCAACCCTTCATACTCCCTCTTCCTTCTCTGTTTTCCCATTCAGCCAAATTCAGCTACCAGAAAATACAAAGGAGGGCATTTATGAATTTAGTACTTTGAAAAATTGTCAGCATTAAGTGCATCATGCAAAACTTCAACATTTTCAAGTAATTTATTTTAAGTAAAGGTGAAAATGTTATGAAATTTTCAGGAAAGTTTAATATTATAACTCTTCTGAAGTAGCAGCATATACTGGCTTTTAAAATAATGTTTCTTAAAAAATATAAGTTAATGCCAGCAGATGATTTATGAAATCATATATATATGAAATATAGGTTTCTGTGTCTCAAAAAGGTCAATGATTCTCTTTGAAATTGTATGATATTATTGGATTCATCTTAAATTTACTTGCTTTTTCTCTGCAGATCATGAAGATATGCTGCCTGTGGGGATGCAGGAGCTTCTGGAGGTCCCAACGACCTCAGGGGTAAACGGGGAGGTCGGGGGGACGGCCAATTCGATCCAGGCCGGTTCCATTCAGCTGAGTCCCCAGCAGCAATATCAGCTGGTGTCATCTGTCATCTGGCAGGGCTCTAACGCCCTTATAGTCCAGGATGGAAGGCTTCAGGTATTCTAAGTATTCTGTGTGTCAAGGCAAATAGCATCTTCAGCTTCTAGAACATTTTTCTTTATTCTTATGACCATGTAAGTAGATCTTAAAATCGTCATAGGTCATGTTACCTGGATTACTTCTTGTTTTCCTTGAATTCACATTTTGTGTTATGTAAAAGTTTTATAACACAAAATGTGAATTCAAGGAAAGATAATGTAAAAGTTTCATTATCTTTCAACCCTAATTTGAGGTAACTGTTTGAGATATGGCATCATTGGATTTCCTGGAAAAATTGTGGAATTTCTTAAGGAGCATTTTTTAGAGTGAAGCTTTTATTTATTTTACATTTGCCTTCTACTCAATCTTTCTTTGCATGCATACTTCTTTTCCTGCTTCCAAACATTTCATTGTGTTCCCATCCTGATTTTCATTTTAGTTATCTTTGTTACTGTTCTTTCTCTCTATATAGGACTATTTTCTTGCTTCTATAGGTGAATGGGAGCGAGAATGGAGGAGCAATGTACACTGCCATTCCAGTCCAGGCACAGGCAGTCCCCACATCCCAACCGAGTGCTACCTCCATCCCTAACGAGAAATCCAAGCTGAAGGCCTCCCGCAAGAAGAAGACCGTCTCGGAACTCAAGGCCGAGGGCTTCGATCCCTGCAAGCTTGAGGATAATCCTGCTCAGGTGCAACATGTGTTCAGGCGTTTCTCGCTCAACCGTAACTGACACATTGCATAAAAAATTGGGAATAATGTAATGCCTTATCTTCCTCAAAGAGAAGGCTTGATTAAATAATTTTTTAAAATTCATTTCCTTCAAGCAGAAAGGAAATGCTGAAATAGGTAATATCTAATGCATGCTAGTGATTGCATCAAATATCCTGTCAAGTTGTGTCTTTTCTTGTATATTGCCTGCTTTAATGTAATATTCTAATTTTCTGCAGTGTTATAAACTGTCTAGGAACATTTCTATTTGGAATTTGTTCCGATCTGATGTCGAAGAATGCAGAGGTATTCATGATTCCTCTCTTGGAAGAGGCTGGTTCGTCCTACATGTACTTTCATAGCTAATTGCTGGGGAATAATTTTTCCGATTTGCATTATGAGGGTAGTTGGGTAAGGGTTAATAAGGGTAGTTCCATCTCAAGTGCTTGGAATTTTGAAGGAGCATCTCATGGATTTTCTTGAAATTTGGCAAGGTTTGTTTTATTACAGAAAAACACAGGCCATATGCTTTTTCATCCACATGCAGTTTCCTAGATATAAGGTCACAGTATTTTGACCTTATAATGCTTCTGGAAAGATCTCTTTGGAGATATCCCTTGAAGTCTCAAGAACTTTCCAACTAAATGAAATGAAAATTTTAAAGGTGTTCTTTGTTTTCTGAGTTATTTCAGCTCAAATGTAATAAGAGAAGAGGTTAATGCTTAAAATATTTTATATTTGATGCTTGAATTCTGGGAGAAGTTTCAGGGGAAGAATTCAGTTCTATGTTTTTGGAACTGAATAAAATTTTGTTTTCAATTGTTAATGATTGCAAGTGTCTCCCCATCTCTAGAACTAGATTGGCTGGGTAGAGAACATCAGTTATATCATGTCTTCAATTAAATGTGTTCAAAATATAATTTAAAAAAAAAACAAAGTTTTATATTGTGCAGGAACACTAACATTTACATTGATTGAAAGGGAAGGTATATGCATATCTTGTGTATATGTATGCATGTCTCAGGAATTCCAAAATTTGATTCTGAATTAATATGGAATTTCATGGAATGTGCATTGCAAGGTATCTTTGTATCAGGGATAGAGGGTAACTGTTTGAATACTTTCATTCATTGGTTGTGGATGCCTCTCAGGATCTGTTGTATTGCCTCTGTGCTTAACCCTTTGCAGACGAATTTCTTCAATCCTGTATCTGAATCGTCCAAGTATACTCGATATAGGATCTAAAAAATTTGACCCCTTTATGCCTGAGTTTCTCTGACATCAGTGTCAAACTTCTTTTCTTTGGTGACTTACCTGGTTTCCAACACTGCAATGAATAGCATGCTCCTGAAGGCTACAGTCCCATGACATAAATATATGGCTATGCCTCAACACTGCAACTTTTAAAAGTGCATGGACACAGGACTCTGTCTGACGGATCCATGGCCGAGGTATACGTAACGTTACCCATGAAAGGGTCTAGTAGTATTTTGCGATTGTCTTTCTTTTCTTCTTTATTAGCATGGAATGGAAGACATTTTTATACTGAAATATCCTTTAAATAATAATAAAAAATGCAAAAGAAACATGCATTGAAGCATTATTGCACATGAAAGAGACCTCAGTCAATGCACTTTTATTTCCATTATTGAATTGACTGACCCAACTTTGGATTCAAAATGAAATTCAAATTTAGTTCGTGTGATTCCAATGACATGCATGCAAATCGTATATACATGATGAAACATTTGCATATCTTCCATTTTGAATGATTCGTTAAGTCCTACACAATACTACACCTTGTTGTTTGTATTTTTTTGGGGGTACAGGTATAATTGTGCCTGTGATAAAAATGGTGTCAATCCCATGTCTTTAAAATAAATTTTAAAGATGAGGATGGCCCATGAGATTCTTCATTTCAACTTATTCTCATTTCGCCTACATGATTTCATCTCTGATGTGACAATCCCTACATACCAATCCTAAGAATGTATGCTGTTAAGTATATTTTCACCTTGTCCCTACGTTTCGGCCCAGGTGGAAGAGCGTTTCGGTCGCGGGTGTGAATGTCAGGAAGAGAATTGCTTCCGGGGTCTGAACGCCGATTTCGTGTACCGGCACCGGCTGAACATAGCCGAACTGTCCAAGGCGGAGCACGACATGTATCTGATGGGTGTGACCATGGCCTGTCTCCAGAATCCCGAGGAGACCGTGAGGCACAAGGAACGCAAGCGCTTGCGCGCCCAGTACGTCTTTCATGGCAAGAAGGTCTGCCTGGATGCCTTCCTCTACCTTGAAAACACAACTCATTACCAGGTAGATTCTCCTGCCCTCCTTTTTTCCTTCCAATTCTGATTTCTGTTTGCTTCTTAATGGGTCTCTAGAAGAGGAGTGTTTTCTCTTGCCCAGTCTCTAAACCTTCTATGCAGCTTCATATACTTTTATATTTTCTTTTTTTTATTTTACCAGAAAAGGACTTTGTTGTGCCAACATTAAATCATACATGGAGGTTGTTTTCGAAGAGGTGTGCTTTATGGTTCCAGCTGTTGTGATTAAAATTGTTTAAGTCCGTGAGTCAAAATGAAAAATAATTTCCTTGATGAGATTGTAATTTACCTCCCTGGCATAGTTTATGGAGAAAGGCCATTTCTTATTTGAGAGCCTCCAGCCATTCCTTACCATAGTGGGCATTCCATGCGTGTCCATATGTTGGTGTTGCCTAATTATCATGACTCTAATCATTAGTGCATTATTGGTGCAATCCTAATGAAATATGAAGTAAAACAATAACAAATATTATAGAATCCATCACAAACTGTTACCATTATGTATACACATCCACTCTGATGACACTTGTGCAGTTGAGAAGTAAAAAAGGTGTTGATATGAAAAACACCATGCAGGAAATGTCCATCTGGGTGGGAAAGAGAAGATACTTGCATACTTATACACAACCAAGAGATAGGCATAGTAAGAGATGTCCCAGCTTTCTGGATGCTGGAAATTTTTATTTGATATAGTGGGTCAGGAAAAAGTACATTGGAGGGGGGGTATGAGGTGACTCCTCCCCTCCAAACTTACGTCCAGTCGCATCCATTTTGAGGCTTACATCACCCCCTCCCCCACCACTGCAGCATCGTCCTTCCTTTCATGTTCCTCTTCCTCTCTAGGAGATGGTCTTTTCCAATACTCACTTGTATCACACTTTCAGGTGAAGAGGATTCGTAAACACGTGATGACCCACGGGGTGACGGCCCGCGTCCACGGGAACCACGGCAAGAAGCCGCACAACACGTTCTCCCTCGACAGTTACCAGCACGCCACGGCCTTCCTGCAGACCTACGTCCAGCGCCATCTCCCACCTGGTAGGGCTCCAGTCACACCCAAGTCCAAGCTCAAGGGCAAACTCTCCCCGATCTACCTGCCGTCGGACATCACCCGGAAGAAGATCCACGCCGCGTACAAGGAGTACTGCGAACACTTTGAGCCTGCGGTGAAGGTCATGGGCTACTCCACGTTCCGCTACTTCATGAAAGACCAGTTCCCTCACGTCAGATTTCTCCGACTGGAAGCGACGGTGAAGCGAGACGTAGATCCCGGCGGCAAGACGAAACAGAATAGCAACGACGTCAAAGCGGACTCGAATCCCGTCGACGTGTCGGACCCGGTCGGAACGAATTCCTTCGCCGCGCAGACCAACTACGTCATGGCGGCAGTGACGGCACCGGCAGTCACCCAGAACGTGGTGCCCTTGACTCCCGCGACGAATGTCGCCCCGACGCTCTACACTTACACCGCGACGCCGTTGACGGGACACACGTACGTGTTGACGCCTGTTCCGCCTGCGGCGACTGCACCTCTTCACCCGCCCCCACCATATTCGTCGTGTCAGATCCCCGAGCAGACGGATCCGATTCTGGAACACCTACCTCCGATGCGCACCACTCCTCCTCCGCGACCTCCCACTCCTCCGACCAGGACCCAGGATGCCCAGACATGGATGTAACTCGTTCCCGTTCGTTCTCCCGGAACGACAGCTCCGCCCTCCCTTCACCCATACGACCGTATTCTCCGTCGGCAACTGCCCGAGTCATCCGACTCTGGATGGAAGGCACTGTTTATGCAGCCCATTTGTTCTGGGTCCTTTATTATTATTTGCATCTCCTCTTCCTCCACAACCATCCTCTCAGGACCCAGGATGCCCACAAATGCAATCCAATTTGACTGTTTTTTTTTTAGAAGCTTTACAAAGTAGCGCATGAGATCTACGTGGCTGCAGGAAAGAGAGAATCTGTGGAATATCGGGATTGATTTTGCAAAGATTTGGGGTTCGGACCGATGAAACATCGTATACCTCCCTAAAAGACGCCGTGCGGTGACGTCTCGATTGAAGATTTCTTCTTCCACTACCCTATTATTGCCCGATCCACTGTGGCACGGCCCACTGTGGGCCCGAGCGACACTTCACATGTGGTATCCTTCTGAACTCATGCACCATGATTCTCGAAAGGTCGGAAGGCAGAGGTTTCCATCTTCACGGATCGTTTCCATGTAAGGCCATTTCTCCGTGAGGATATCACGAAACTGGAAACCCTTTCGACAGGGATCGTTATGACGAAGAAGGCCTACCTTCGGAAATGAAGAGCGATGAAGTGAAAGTACGAGAACTTTGAGCCTACGTGGAGATGATGGCACTTCAGTGTAAGGATAAAGCCTTGTGTCGATCTACAGCGCTTAATACCTCCCAAACGAAACTATCCAATGAGTGAAGGAGAAAACCGTGATTTCGGGAAATCCAATAGCAAATTCGGTATACACAGTACTCGTGAAAGCGGCCGACAGGACCGATCGTTAATGCGTCGGCTATTCCTTTACCCACGACATCAGTCGCGGTGGTGAAAACTGCCCTTCTGGTTGCTTCAATTGGCTATCGTGGCTTCATCCTACATCAACCAACAGGGCAACGAGTGGCAATTCCAACCCTGGACTCCACGAGACAACCGTGGCAATCGTGGCTCTATCTTAAGGTTCCGAGACGTGCTAGTGGAAACTTTAATGTTAAGTGGATCGTGAGGCACTTCGAGTTTCTCGGACGACGTCGATGAAGGCGTCGATGGAGATAGTGCCTTCGAGATGCCGATGAACGTCGAACTCACATTCTCGGGAGGAGATCCTGATATTTGTTTACACCACTGGAGAGATCGAGCTTCTACGTCGCTCGATCGAGGTCAAAGACTCGCTCCGCACGTCGTCGATTTGCTTCTGGTTTCTGGCCTGCGATCGTTCGTTCTTCGACCGAACGAGCCCCAGAAAGGGGAGGACCTCGCCCTTCGCCGACCGACCGGGCTGCAAGAGGCACGGGTGTCTTCTCGACGTCGTCCCCGGGAAGGGCGGCGCCCCCATCCCACCGATGCGACCGCTCGTCGAAAGCCGACCCGATGAGTTCTCGTCGACCTCGATGCGTCGCGAACCTCCTTCCGCGTGGGATCTTCTTCTCGACGGGGAACGGTGGAAAATCGCACGGGGCGACGTCGGGGGAACGAAGTGGACGGTCCGAGGCCCGGTAGCCGAGGGTCCAGGAGCGAGACGTCGTATGGAAAACGCATACGAGTCGCGTCGTGACGTCGGCTTCTGCCGTCCTCGGCTACCGGGCCTCGGTGCACCCACGTCCCTTCTGGAAAAAATCCAGGCGTGACGGAATCGGCTGCATTCCGGGAGGCGAATCGTCGCGAAGGCTCCGGCAACATCGACACGAGCATCTTTCTCGATCGATTCGAGCGGTCCGATTCGGGGTTCCTCGTCGATATTCCACTGCGATAGAATTTTCTCGTTCCCTCTCGGACGGGTTCTTCCTCTCGCGATGCCAACAATCACTCTCGTTCTGCTTCGACGGGACTCGAAAATGACTTCCCTCAAACCCTTCCCCTTTCACGCGTTCGCATCGATATCGCCGAAATGCTGGGTGGGCATATTCGGTTCGACGTGCCGATTCTGCCCGTGCGACCATCTGGCACGCACGGGGAAAGTGGTAACTTGCCCCACCGCTCACTTTTGCGCCGTGGGAATGGCCGCACGTAAGATCGTGTTTCGGGGCTGCGTTCGCGAGAGATATCGGATCGGAATCGCCTCTCCCTCCAACTACATCACCCGGGTTAGCTCTTCGTCGTTACGTCCGTGTTGAAAATCGGGGGAACCCATCGACGGTAGCGTTCACGAACGATCGCATGCAATTCAGAGATGACCTACTTCTGAAAGCGACACGTCGCACCGAGCGTCCCGAAAGGGATCCGGCGAAGATATAGGGACTGCATTCGATGATACGCGTTCGAGACGCGAGCGGACGTACGGGAGGAAGATACGACTCTGACTCTCCGACTCGGTCGTCGCGATCCCCCGGGGAACGTTCGAGAGCGGATGGGACGACCGGTCGGGCCTCCGACCCGGCAACGCGCACGGGGACTTGGGATCCGAATCGAAACGAAAAATTTTCGGTGGGACTCGTTCTCGGCTCCGTCGCGTCGCTCCGTCGATGCGAACCGTTGCCGATTCGTCGAAATCGAAGAAGCACGAGAGGAAGCGCTCGCGGTTTACCGTCGGGGCGAAGAGGACTCCGCATCCGACCGTTAGGCCGAGTCGGAATGCGTCGAGCCGGAGTCCCAGTTATGCGGATGCTCTTCCTTCCCGGGGACGCTCGAGGGGACCGAGCATCGCCTCCTCCGTTAACGCGGGGAGAAGTCGTTTGCTCCGTATCGAGTGCAGGTCTGTCGAATTCTCGAGAGGTCGTTCGACTCGTTCGGTCCCGAATGAAAAAATACGAATGATGCAAAAACAAATTTTCCTCACTCGACCGTCCACAATAAACGTTTAACCAAAAAAAATTCAAGTTCTAAAAAATACCACAGGTGACGAGGTCTTAAGTCTAAAGACATCACGATGTAGTCTCGAAAATGATTGCGAAAAAAAAATTAGGATTCCTGTGTCCCGCTGTGACCTAGGAATCGCGTGACAAATTACGTATTTTGCGATAGGGTGAAACGAAACTCTCTCTCTCGTCGTCGGAGTTAGTATGGAAGTCCACGTTACGGTAGCTTCGGCCGACGAGTCGCCGTTACCGAGGCCTCCGAAGCCACGGACGCTGACGATCGGTATCGGATCGAGGAACGGAACGCGGCCGACCCCCTTTCCGGCCGCCCCTCGGCCGGAATCCGCTCGACCGCCTGCTACGACGACTGCGACGAAGACGGCTGCAACGCGGCGAACGAGAGCGAGATGACGGGATCCTGCAACGACGAGAGTGTCGGCAGCGTCGCGTGCGTGGATCCGCACGGGTGCACGGGTGAGACGTGTGCCGTTGCGTCCGACGGAACCCAGTGGTGCGAGGGAAGGCTCGACGCCTACCGGCAAATACGGCCCAAGAACGAGAACGAGGGCATCTCGGACTGCATCGTCCTCGACGACGCGATGCCACGTCTCGTGGCTTCCGGTATTTACGTACGGAGGCGGAGCGGCTGCATCTGCACCGGAGCGTGGCACTTCGGCAACGCAGTGGCACCCGGAGAGCAAAGCTGCAGCGAAGCCAGAACCGAACCGAAGACCTGTATCTTTTGCTACCAGAACCGCTCCGACGTCACGGAGACGGTGTCGCGTTCGCCCGACCGCGTCTGCACCGGCTTCATATCCGGAAACGGAAGCTTCGGGAAGACTTGCTCCGGCCCTGGGGACCGGGATCGGCTGCAACAATCGCTTAATTCTTCGGAGAAGACCAGAACTCATCGGCAGATACGGACTCTGAATCCGTTCGGAAGGTTCATCGGGACCGTGGCTGGTTGTTTCGTGGATTGCGTGGGGAGAAATTGTAACGGATGGGACCGGAACTTCGTCTCGCAAAATTGCGGTAAGAAAGGTTCCGATCAGAAAATAATTGCTTCCTAGGTTAAAAAAGATACATTGTATGTATTCAGGAGTATAGGATTTATTTCCTCCCCGTTCGAAGCACTCACCACGACGTGATGGAAGGGGCCAGAAAGCGTCTCCAAAGTTTAACGTGATCAGAGCGGCACGAATGCCGCACATCTGGCATCACTGGCACGCAGATACCTTTCTACCCCGCTAGGAAAGAATGACCCTCGCCACGAGTCGCCGATCGGTCCTTCAGACCTTCAGCGGATATCCCTTAACTTTTTCATGCTTCGTACCATTCGGCATGACTAAAGGAAGAACCGTTTTGCTGTGGGCGGTCATTTTAATCTGGCAGGGACCTGTACGAGACGAAGCAGTACGTTTCAACCTTCGAGCCCGAAACCTCCTTTATTGGCACACCGGTAATAGCAATACGTGGAAGAAAAGGGAACTGGGACACCGCTGGAGAAACGATGGAACGTTTTTTCATCGCGCTCATTTTTCGAAAATAATACTGCATGCTAAGTCACGTGTCGATCTCGGTCCGTCGGACGAGCAAAACCTTCTGCATCGAAGCTTCTCTTTTCCGATTCTTTCCTCTCGTATTCCGATGAAATTCTAACCGACTCTTTCGGAATCCGAGAACGAAATAACTCGAAATAGGAATACGCCTGTTTTGCAGCGAACCTGATACGAATCGTTCTCCGCCCGGGACTGGAGTTCGTCTCTGACTCGACGGAGACGGTGGCGACGCCTCGGGAAGAATTCCCCCAAATCTCCTGAATCCATTTTCGGTAACATCCTTCCGGCTTTCCGACCGTTCGGCGTCTGAGTTTACCGTGTCGTGGACGGTCAGGAGAAGAGTATAAAAACTCGACTTGGAGGGTGGAGAGGGAGAGAAGGTAGAGGTTGGTGAGGGGTTCCGGACTTCGCTGCTGCTGCTGCTGCTATCATCAGGCACCGGGTTAGGATCCCTGTTGGGAAATCAGAGCCTTGCTATTTCTACTCGGTTGGAGCCGAGGTGCCTAAGCGCTGGTTGTAGCCGGGCTCGGGTGGATCTGGTTGGGGCAAGATTCTGTTTCTTGCCGGTTGGAGCCAGAAGGGACGTATAGAAATAGCAAGGCCGAAATCGGATGTGGGCGTACGGAGGCCGAGCAACACCTTCAGGTTTCGTCGTTTAGCCGTGATTGAACAAATCACGAGACCTCGCGAACGTACTGCATAGAGGGGGTGAGTTGAATCGTTTCTTGTTCATAGAAGGATTAAATATTCTTTCATTTTTTGTTCATTCACCTTTAAAGCGAAAGCTGTCAATCGCGAAGCTGTACC